TATATATATATATATATGTGTGTGTGTGTGTGTGTGTGTATAAATGTATATATCGATATATAAATGTATATATTAGTATATTTTTCTAGCCATAAAATTGGACATGTGTGCAACATCACCTCATGCTGCGGAATATGAGGTCAATATCACGCCATGAAGAATTAGATGATGAAATATCTATAAACATATATCTATACATATATGTATATGTATACATATATAAAAGTATCGATATTTAAATGTTTATAATCTAATTAATTATTATTAATTAAATTAGAACACCAGAGATAACAGAATGCAAATAATTACAAACGGATATACATAATAATCGCTTATGTTATTACATTTCCTATTGAAGATAATAACGTATTAAGATTATCAGTAAACCAATTTATTGAATTAAATAATTAATAGTTAATTTTCTATAATTTTTGGAAAACTAAGGGGGTTTATTTGCCTATTCTCTGATAAGCTTGTTCTGTTATCTTAACTAATGAAAACTTATATTTCACAATATTTTAGTACAAGAACGTTAATTAACTTCTTGAAGGGTCAGTTATAGTAATTGCAAAAAAAATCAAATATGGGAATTTTTGTATGTATATCTTTACGTTTCAGTGGTTTCTGAACATTTTGGCATATTTTAGAAAAAATTTATATATGTGTGTGTGTGCGAATACAAATTTTCGTCGACGATTTTGGGAACACGGTTCAACCGATTTTAATTATTCAAAAAGCAATCGATTCCTATTAATAAGGAGACGTGCTGATTAGTTTTTGGCAAAGACAAGTCCAGTCGTTTCGGAGATTCGGTGCAAAAAGTGCCAAAAATGGTAACTCAGTTTTTAGGAGAACGGAGCGTCCGATTTTAATAAGTCAAAAAACATTTTACTTGCATTGACAAGATGAAGAATTGATCAAATTTTCATGAACGCAGGTCTATCGGTTTCGGAGATCTAGTGAAAAAAGTAAAAAAATCCTTTGGCGGTCAAAAATGATCATTAGACATATGCACATCAAATTATCAGATATTTTATAGAGATTTTAACAATAAGTATAAATTTTGTTTACATTCCTATGGTTTCGGTACCAATGTTTATCCGTTAGACTGCGACGCGGCGCTTACGCGCTTCAATATTTCGCCCCTAAAACAGCTAAAGCAGCTTTGAAAAAAAGTTCAAAATTATCAAAATATTTACAAATAAAAAAGAATTTGAAAATCAAGTTTTTTCGAAAATTTCAAGATTCTGAAAAATCAAAAAGTTAAAATTTTTTTTTTTTTTAATTTATGGTACGGGAAGTACCAGCAATTTGCCTTAAGGCACGATGCCACTTAGCACTAATTATATTTCCTGGTCAAGATAACAACGTATTAAGATCATCTGTAAATTGAATCGTTTATAGTTTTCCTGAATTATCCGAAAAAAAAATAAAAAAATTAGTAATTATTTGTTGAACACATATGGCGTTTTCCAATGGGCGCGAAAAATTATTTTTGTAATTCAACCAATTTCCATTTCCAAAAATCATCTTTAGCATGTGCGATCCAAAAAAAAATCTGCCCGTTCTATATATAAACCGTGGCACGATGTACATACTAAATAAAATATTTATTCAGACAATATGATCGACTGGGCAAAGTTCCCAAATAAATGAGACGAATAAATATTAAAAATACGAATGTAACGTCAACACAATCACGTGAACAAAAAAACACGTGGTCGTCAAATGTCAAAATCAGTTGTTTGAATTGCAATGGAGTTTGCACCCTTACAACCCTAAATATTCACCTTTCTAGAAAATTTCCTAGAAATAATATTTATTGGTTTGTCGAAGTCAGCTAGTATAATATATGTATATTTCTAATTATTCCCATCTGTTGTATATTTAATTTAATTGTGTATTTTATGAATTCGTGATAGTTGTAAACACAACAGAAGTCGCCAGACTTTGACCTCGTGCGTATAATTTCATGGCTTCTGATTTTATTTGATTTTTGACTCGTTGAATTTTAATTAAACTCATTCAAACCGCCAATAACTACATTTGTGTTTTATTCACGCTTATAAAATCGAGGAATTTATTACCGATTTATGAAAAAAAAACTGAATATAATTGTAATTCATAGTCAGTAAACTGGAAACAGGAAAATTGAGAATTAAAACAGTGACGCAAGGTAGAGGATATATATATATATATATATATATATATATATATATAGAATCTGTATTTTAATATTCGAATGTGAAATATCAGCTTATCACTCTCTTATCGACATAAGAAAGCAAAATCGTGATTTTTTCGCGATTTATTCAGCAGTTGCTAAAATTGTCAAGATAACATTTTTTACTTCGACGACTCCATACACGTGCTCGATATAATATCGATACAATTTAATCAACTATTTCTAATTATAAGAGGAATAAATAATTACTTTTGTAAGTATGTTATAGAAATAGAGCTATCTATTGTCCATTACCATTTTGGACCAATTTTTTTCATTTAATTCTTTTTTAAGTTCGTAAATAAAAAAAACACATATAGCCCTAAATTTTCACCTTCCTACCACAAACCCCTATTTTGTAAAATTTATTTTAGTCAATGTCATTCTGCACCAATTAATTTATTTCATTTTTTTAAATTCATGATTAATAACACATACAGTCCTAAATTTCCACCTTCCTACCACAATTCCTTATTTGGTAAATTTAACTATCATTCTGCACCAATTAATTTTTCAATATTTTAAATTTTGCAATTAAAAAATATATACAACCCTAAATTTTTACCACAAATCCTTATTTGGTAAAAGTAATTTTGGTCTAATATCATTTTGCACCAATTACTTGTTTTCATTTTTCAAAATTCATGATTAAAAAACACATACAGCCCTAAATTTTCACCCTCCTAGCACACATCCTTATTCGGTAAAAGTGATTTTAGCTTAATATCATTCTGCACCAATTCATTTTTTTCATTTTTTCTTTAATTTCGTAAGTAAAAGCACTTACAGTCCTAAATTTTCACCTTCCTACCATAATTCCTTATTTGGTAAATTTAATTATCATTCTGCACCAATTAATTTTTTAATTTTTTTTTAAATTGCAATTAAAAAACACACACAGTCCTAAATTTTCACATTCCTACCACAATTCCTTATTTGGTAAATTTAACTATCATTCTGCACCAATTAATTTTTTCAATATTTCAAATTTACAATTAAAAACACATACAGCCCTAAATTTTGACCATCCTAGCACACATCATTACTTGGTTAAAGTGATTTTAGTTTAATATCATTCTGCACCGATCAATTTTTTTCATAATTTTTTAAATTTGCAAGTAAAAACACATACTGCCCTTGAATTTTCACCCTCCCACCACAAATCCCTATTTTGTAAAAGCTATTTTATTCTAATATCATTCTGCAACAATTAATTTAAAAAAAAAAAAATTCGTAATTAAAAAACCGATACAACCCTAAATTTTCACCCTCCTACCACAAATCCCTATTTTTTGAGTCATTTTAGGGATCGAATAATTTTTGAATGTTTTCGGTTAATTTTAGTTCAGATTTTATGGAAAAACATGAAAATGAAGGTATAATAGAAATTTTAACTTAAATTTTACTTCAAAAGCAATTTATTTATATCAAGGTTTGTCTATTAATATGTGCCAGGAATATTTAGATAAGGCATGAGTTGCAGTGGGTAAACCATCTACTGAATTTGTATTAGTTGTCTCTTACATATATTTACATACTTATATACCACATACTTCTACATTCAGAATTTGTTATTTTTTATACTAAAAATTTTCTAAAAATATTTTTTATGGCTAAACATTGCCGGGCCAGCTGGTATATATACACAATTTCTTCTATCGTTATCTAAAGTCCACTCGAGACAAATTAATATCTCTTGACTAATAATTAAAGTATATCCATGTAATTAATTATGCAAATATACAATACAACAGCTTTTGTTTTTTTAGAAAGATAAATTTACAAAGATAAGATAAATTGTATTAAAACATAATTGTTCTTTACATGGATTAAGTGGTTCAAGTAGCAGATTTATGAAAAAAATTATGTTATCAAATTTAATTATTAAATAATATAATTGTATGCAACTGAAAAGATAAATTTTTTTTTTTAAAAAATAATTAAACTTAATTTTAGATAAATTGTATAAGTGATAAGATTTTTTACTAGTTGTACTACTTATAGACAACTTATAAATGCTTTTATACATTGTATCTTTTGTGATAAAGTTGAAGTTTGCAAAATTTTGCAAAATAATTTACCAAATTGACTAATATAGGAAAATATACAATAATTTTTAGAATGTAATTACATAATAATTTTAAAATTATAAGCTATTATACCTCTATTAAAAAATAAAAATCTGCTGTTGAATATTAATATAAATAAAATAATAATAAATCATGGTGTATGATAAAAAACATTTAGGTAGGATTTAAAATATAATTACCTAATAATTTAATTGATATTATTAATTCATATTTGTCCAAAACCCTTTTAAAAAAAAACTTAAATTTCTTGTAAATACTAATATTAAAATTCAAATTTGATAAAATTATATGAATATTTATAATTAATTTGTTTTTTTTCCAATTTCAGGTGTTAGAAATATAAGAAGATATTTAAATGAAGCAAAGTGATCAATAAAGTGTAATTAAATATTTTTTATATATAAATAATTTATTTTATAATAAAAGTTGTGTTCTATGTGAAGATATCATTTAATTCCATTACCCAATAATGAATAAAAAAATTTACATTGAATTTTTTTCACGGACTGATTTGTATATAAAAAAATATAGCTGTCAGTGATGACTTTTCAAAATTAAATTATAAAAATTTAAAATATTTAATAGTTTTATACAAAATTAAACAAGTTACACGTTAACAATGAATAGCTATTAATTATAATTTCCAATTGTTAAATTTATAGTGATTTATTTATTTATTGCATTTTAAATCTTATTTACCCCACTAACGGTGTAAGTGCTTGTAAATCTTAGTGGGTTAATACTAAATTCGATCTAAAAATGTCAACAAATATGGAAGGTGAGGAGGAGAAGCAACAGGATTTGGATTTGGATAGTGTTTTGCGTGAATTAGGACAATTTGGAAAATTTCAGTTAATTAATTATTTGTTTATATGTTTGCCGATTTTATTTTCGGCTATTTTCACACTCAGTTATGTTTTTACTGCTGGACAAGTCGAATACAGGTGAGGAGGAAATTATTTTAACCCTATTTTTAAAAAAAATATAACCTTTATATACATTTGCTATACATTTTTTTATTTCAATCATTGATCAAAATGTCTAAATCTATTGATGTTATTTTTACGATATTTCATCATCTACTATCTATTTTTTTTATCCTCTTCCTAGGTGTTTGGTGCCAGAATGCGAACAAGTAACTTTCCAAAACAGATCATCCTTTCTGATAGCCGATGAAGGGAAATTTGAACCCTCATGGATCCAAAACGTATTGCCCTTCGATGCAGGTGGCAAAGTGTCTCAGTGTACGAGGTACAAATTATCAGGATATAATTTTAAGGTAGGAGGAAAGGATTATATTCCACTTTACAAAATTCCAATAACGAAATTTTGGACAAATTTGTGATTATCTTATGAGTTCTAAAGAAACATCTTCGTAATATTTGGACACCCCTGAGACTTTAGGTTCATAAATTTTTATTTACGCTATTTTTTATATAAAATACTAGGAAGCCCGACGAACTCCGTTTCGCCACCAGATGGTTTCGTGAGAAAGATGAAGAAATTTTTTGTTTGTTTTATATTTGAAAAGGAAAAATTTGATTTTATTATACAACAGTAATAAATTTATTTCGATTACAAACATGAAGTGTTTTTTAGTTGAACTTTTCTAAGTAAATGAAAGTGAATCCGCAAATTATCCGTTTCATTGAAGTGCTCTTTGGTGAACCACATTTTTTGTTTTTTGCTCTGGCGTTAACACAAACAAAGCGGATGGTTTTCCAACTCGTGAAAAGGCAACGTATAACTGCCCATGTGAAAAACAATGATTTTCTAAATAATCTATTTGAAATTTATCCCGCAAACACTAAGCGATTGGCCCTGCAACTTGTTATTGCGAACGCAAGGCGAACTGGAAATTGCAATCGTTTGAAGTTCCAAAAACGGAAGACCAGTCGGAATCATTGGTATTTCACCAAATCGCCAGCAATTTTTGATTGAATGGTGAAATTCAGTGCTTGTACATCATTATTCTTTGCGGCAAGAATTGCTCGTTGACTTAACCAAGCATAATTCTGATAATTCTCACTAATGTCATTACTCGAATTTTAACTAATTAAGGCACGATGCCATGCACAACTAATTTTCTTAGCTATAAACCTTGCGGAGCCCGAGACCTTTCCAACGAATGCAAAATTGTCGAAATCGGTTCTGGAGTTATTTCGTCAGGAAGGAAAACCCGACTTATTTTTAAATATATAGAAGATAAAAGCTGCATGCTGCAAATGCTGCAAAATGCCGCAAAGACCATTGATCTTTTAGGATTATTCAGAAATTTCAGAAACGTCTCTCTGATGCATTTTTCTGGATAGTTGTTTGTGATCCTAATGCTGTATCATCCTATTTTCTGAATCCACCAGCAATCTTCTGGCTTAAAATCTACTCCGATGCATCTTCCTGAATAGTTGTCCTCCATCCTAATTCTGTATCATTCTATATTCTGAATCCCTTAGTAATCTTTCGTCAAAAACGACTTTCTGATGCATTTTCTTGGATAGTTTTTTATCGTCCTATGTATCATTCTACTTCATGAATTTTTCAACAATCTTCTTCTGTAAATATCTTTTCATGTATCTCCCTGAGTAGTTGTTTTTCATCGTAATCCTATATCGTTCTATCTTCAGGACCCTCCAGTAATATTTTGGCGTAAATATTTTTTATGCATCCGCCTGAATAGTAATCTTTTGGTGTAAATATCGTTTCATGCCTCTTTCTGAATAATGGTGGTCCTTTATCATGATCTTATATTTCTCTATTATTTGAGCTAACCAGTGATCTTTTGGCAAAAACGTCTCTCTGATGCATTTTTCTGGATAGTTGTTCGTCATCCTGATCCTGTATTATCCTATTTTCTGAATCCACCAGCAGTTGTCTGGCTTAAACTACTCCTGATACATCTTCCTGAATAGTTGTCCTCCATCCTAATTCTGTATCATTCTATATTCTGAATCCCTTAGTAATCTTTCGTCAAAAACGACTTTCTGATGCATTTTCTTGGATAGTTTTTTATCATCCTATGTATCATTCTACTTTATGAATTCTTCAGCAATCTTCTTGTGTAAATATCTTTTTATGTATCTTACTGGGTAGTTGTTTTTCATCCTAATCCTACATCGTTCTATTTTCAGGACCCTCCAGTAATATTTTGGCGTAAATATCTTTTTATGCATCCGCCTGAATAGTAGTCTTTCATCCCAATCCCGTATCATTCTATTTTTTTACTGTTTTGGTAATCTTCTGGTTGAAACATCTTCTTCCAAGTATTCTTCTTGTTACTTCAGAAAATCAGCTCTCACTTTCGTAAAATTTCAGAAGCTATTAAAGTATATGAATAAAATATTGGAATTTACAATAAGAATAATTATTTTCAGACAGAAACAGAACCAATACCATCGCCCATCAACCATCTGCAAGATCTTCAAAATAAGCCAATTCAAAATGATGAATTACCAAACATTGAAGACAAAAAGAAAAGTTTCCTGAAAGACAACACAAACCAGTGTTCATCTTTGCATCATCCGACAAACGAGACAGAAAGCTGTGATATTTTGGTGTACAAGAATGGTGAAAAGACCATCGTCAACGAGGTATAGAAAGAAAGGATATTTTAAATTTAATTTTAAGGGTTTGGTTTAATTCTTTTTATTTTTAGTTCAATTTAACGTGTGAAGATCAGGAATGGAAGAGGACGTTGATAGGCACTGTCAATAACATTGGCCAGTTTGTTTGTTTGCCTTTATCTGGGTTCATTTCTGACAGGTAATAATATAATTTAAATCTCAATCCCCCAAATCTTAATATCTACTAGGGTTTATACAAAAATCCACATTTCAGAAAACCGGTTTTCGAATTTTAATTTTACTAAAAAACCGGTTTTAACCGGTTTTCGAATTTTATATAGAAAATAAATTTTTGCTCAAACATTCTGTAATTTATCCGCAAAGGTGTAATTTAGATTAGTATTTAAATGAATTTATTTATTGTTCAATTTTATAGATAGTAAACAAAATTATTTTAGTTTTAATTAGTAGAACCAAAAAATAATTGTTTATCTTGTTTAAATACATTTAAAAAAATTATTCGTATTCATGCACCGTTTTCACATATAAGAATGAAAATATTTTTATGGTAGTAAAAGGAAAGTTTTCGAATAAATAAAAATAATACATTTTTAAATGAAAAAATGCATTAAATTAAAAAAAAAGATAAAAAAAATTTTAGATACATGTTGATACTTACTTGTTAATATCTATTTTAGTTTTAAAAACAATTAAGCTAAACTCGGGTATTGTCTGTTTCGAGCAATTTTAATTAATTAATTTTAAACATTCTAATTGTTTTTTTGTTTAATAAAATATGATTTTAAAAACTGAGAACGTCTATCGAATTGCTACTTAGACGTGTCCGTTGTTTACTCATAAAATTTTCTGAAATAGAAAATATTCTCATATTTGCGACCAAATTATGCTTAATTGATTTTGAAGCCTGATATAATAATTCTTGTTTTTTGTTTTTTATTTTGTGGCTTCTAGGGTTTAAAACTTTTTTTTTAAGTTCGAATAGAGAAAGTTACTTTTTCAAGAAGAGGTCACACTGATTTAAATTAGTATATACACTGTTATAAACCTTTCTGGGAACCATTGCAGATTGATAAGATATCAAATGCTATTGAAGCGATATGATTTCAAGAATCAAAACGCTTTCATCTATCTTTTATATTTGGCTATATTTGTCATTTTTTATTTATACAGTGAAAACCAATTTTTTTAAATAAAAAACCGGTTTTCGAATTCCACAATTTCCGCCAAAAAACCGGTTTTTGAAAACCGACAAATCCTAATATCTACTTAATTCTGATAAATCTTTCCCAGATATGGTAGAAGAACAGTCCTGGTTTTCGGCATAGTCATTTCTGGTGTCATGGGAATCATCAGATCCTTCTCTACCAGCTATATCATGTTTCTGATCTTCGAATTTTTAGATCCAGCTTTAGGATCTGGTGTCTACAGTGCCGGATTTATTTTAGGTAACTTGGTTTGGAGTCACATGGTGAAAATAAATAAGTTACCAAAGATCAGGAGACTTTACAAGTATTTTTTCCTCTTAGGTATGGAGTTGGTTGGCCCCAAAAAGCGTGTTTTGGGAGGTGCTATAATAAGCTGTTGCTATGCTTTGGGTGAAGCTGTTTTAGGCTTGGCAGCTATGTGGCTGCCTGATTGGAGGATTTTGCTAAGGGTTCTTTACACACCTGCGTTACTGTTTGTGGTGTATCCCTTGCTCATTCCAGAGAGCGTCAGGTAAGGACAATGGATAACGAGAACTATTTTTTTATTATATCTGTGATTGTTATTATGAATTGTATTTTTTTATCTTATTTAGGTGGTTAATGCACAAGAAACGACACAACGAAGCATTGAAAATCATAATGAGGTGTGCCAAAACAAATGATGTTGTCTTAAGCGAATTGGCACTCGGTGTACTGACTCCTAAAGAAGAGGAAGCTCTCAGGAAAAATAGCTTGAAGCAAAACGACGGTAATTAAAAATTCCAGTATTAAAAAAAATAGTTTCTTAACAATAACTATAGTTCTGCCAAAACTTATACCAAGATTTGGACTCCAGATGATAAATGTAATTTAGAAGCTTCTACCTAATTTTGGCTGATGCTTATTATATTCATCCACTAACAACTCTTCAAGAGTTCTTGATTTTCATATTTTAATATTATAAAAATCTGAGAACAGATTGCAATTTAAGATTAATTAAATAAAATGCTTAACTAATTTTTTTTTGCATTTGCTTTTACTAATGACATTTTATTTATAGAATGCACCTATTTAAATCCGGACCAAAAATATAACAGAGGTAATCGAATTTTTTTTTGGGATTTTTAAAAGCATGGCAGGAATTTTTGGAAAAAACTGTATGGGAATATTTATCAAAGCATGGGGAAATCATACGTTATATATACACATTGGGGTATAGACAAATCATAAATTTAAATTTTTCTAAGCATATCATTTTGCAAATTTATATTTATTCAATATATCTTTAGCACAGGTTTTCTTGTTATAAATAATAGTTCCAGTATATTTCTTTATATATCTATTATGGGTCATTATATTTATCATATATATTTGTCTTGAGGTTTATAAATCGGTCAATATATTTGGATTATATTTTTCCGGTTAAAATATTTTTGTGCTTATTGAGGCAATTTTGTCCCATAACATAGCGTTGTCCTGGCAACGCTATCTTATGCTTGTTTATTCCTAGTGAACTCTGTGAAAATTTCTATGTATTCGAAGCAAAGAAGAATCTTATGATAACTTCGATGATGCTGTTATCATAAGATTCTTCCTTGCTTGTTTATATGTAAAATACGCCTGATCGCACAGCAAATAGATAGACATTTTTACAGTTTTCACTACTAATAAACAAGCATAAGAGCGTTGCCATGACAACTCTATGTTATATGAGGCAGAAATCCTCATTAATTTTCTTAATTATTTAGCAGAATGATGGCATGCATATGGTTCTCGAAACGTACAGTTTAAAATAAATACTATATAACAGTTATACACATTGGCTGTATCCATTTATAAATAAAAAAAGAGTGCGCGTAAGGATCACACGCGATTGAAGTAAAACTTTTAATATTGTATGAGTAGGCAATTAAGATAAAAATAAAAAAAACATCATATTTGAATTTTAAAAATCATCTTTTAATAATCATATAACATCAATAATAATAAGATCTCCTGAGCATCGGCACAGCTGTCCTACTGATATTAAGAGTTTGAATATGATGTGAAGCTTTCTTCCTTTGTTTTTGTTACCTATCTTACCGGGAAATTCAAACCATAAACGTAGAAGTTCATCATTATCGCCACGTTCTATGTACACTAATTTTTCCACACAACCATTAGCTAAGCCATCACTTACATCAATATTAGTTGTTATTATGTAAAATTTATTCAGAACTAAAATTATTTCATACGGCAAAGCCCCGGTATCAATAACCGATTTTTTTGAAACTGCTGACGAATGTATGATTGTTGATCTGTCGCATGGCAACCTACATAAATATCCGTGGCAGTAGATATTACTTTGTCTTCAACGAGATTCAATATAAATTTATTATATTCCATGGCACATTTATTCTCTAAGAAAAGTCTTATTCCATGAGGACATAATACAGCAACCTCTTCTTTTGTAAAAAAAACGTGATTCAATTAATGCAAGTTCATATAGGGTTTAGCGCTCGACTTACGCATGACATGACGAGAGTGGATCGCGACTCGCGACATCAGCGCCTACCTGCGTCGTAGTGCTCAACTTCACGTTGGCGTTTTCGTTGCATTTGTACGGATTTACACCCGTGTCGCGCCTAAAAATTTTTACACCCATATCGCGCCTAAAGAAGTTTTACTTCAATAAATATATATATATATATATATATATATTGTATTATATTTTTATTATAAATATCATGTTTTTTTTCCAGGTTATCAGACAGAAAAGCGTCTAATAAGCAACGGCGTCGACACCGCCAACAACCACCAGCAATTTTCTTCAGCAGGAAGCCAAAAAATTACCAAAAAGGCAAACTATCCAATTTTAACAGTACTAAAATCCAAATTCCTTCTCCTGCGAGTTGCTAATTGTTCCTTCTGCTGGCTCACGAATACTTTTGTGTATTATGGATTGAGTTTGAATTCTGTTGCTGTCGATGGGAATAAGTATTACAACTTTGTGCTGGTGTCTCTGATCGAAATACCAGGGTAATATAAATAGTAACATTATAATTATGAATGGTTGACCAATGTTTAAAACTTTTTTAATTTTTTTTAGTTTAAACTGATTTGTTTAAAGTTTTGTTATATTTTTTCAGATACATCTTCACATATCTCATATCGAATAAATTTGGTCGAAGAAGTTCACTTTGTGCATCTTTGCTTATTAGTGGGTTGTCCTGTGTAGTCTCAAATTACGTAGATGCAGGTATGTATAATACATATAATACATATATATATATATATATATATATATATATATATTCCTGTTTTTTTTTTCAGAGACGGCTTGGTTGAGACTAACTCTATACCTGTTGGGCAAATTTTCAATAACAGTCGCCTTCACTGTATTATATGTATACACTGCCGAATTGTTTCCAACATCACTTAGGCATTCACTTTTGGCAACATGCTCGATGTTTGGCAGAATTGGCAGCATGGTTGCACCGCAGACACCACTATTGGTAATAATTGATAAATAATTTATATAAATTTTAAATAATAATTTCTATTCAGGAATCAGGAGATACAAATTTGGTGAATAAATGAATAAAGTAAAGAAAAGCGTTTGATGCTTTATATTCTATTACTTCAAATATAATGCCTGATAATATGTTTCTACGATGACAGAATTGTTAAAAGCATATTATTAATTAGATAGATTAGATTAATTATTTCAAAAAATCTTTGTGCTAATGATTAGCATAGATAAGATTGCCAAAATATCACTTGTTTAATTAATTATTTTCAATTATCATTTTGCTTTATTAATTCTATTTCTATTCTTAGGCTCGTTTCATGCCATCACTGCCAATGCTGATGTTCGGTGGATGTGCCATAATTTCTGGACTTCTGATACTACAGTTTCCAGAAACCTTGGACACGAGACTTCCTGATACTGTTCAGGAAGCTGAAGACATCGGCAAGAAGAAGTCTGATGTTGTAGTTTGATAAATGGAGTTAAATTTATAAATTTTGTATGATAATAGTTGTAAGGTTGACAAAGAAGAATTTACAAGGTTTGTAAGGAATTAGATATATATATATATATATATATATATATATATATATACATATATTTATATTTATATTAAAAAATAGTGCCTTTGTATCAGATTTTTTCTAAAGGCCAAAGTTTTCTTTAAAGAATGATATTTGAATTTACTTATAACTTGTTCAATAAAAGATTTTAATTGTATAAACTATATTTTTTTTAACAAAGTTATAACTAATGTAAAGTATATAAATTTTTTTTGTCTAATTATTCGAAAGTTAAGAAAAAAACCCAATGTGAATTCTTCATTAACACGTTTTTTATATTATGTTCACTTTTAAGATAAACTAGATGATAAGTATTTGTATTACAAAAATGTATTTATTAAGGACTCTAATGCACTATTTTATTTATAGTAAATAAAATTTATATGGACAAATAAAAACTTAAATTTCTACTAGTTTTTTTACGTAAATCATATTTTCCTTTATATAACCTGTTACACTTAATATATTATACAAAAATTTAATACTAAAATCTTTTTTCCAGCAAAGTGTCTGAAATGTTTGTCCTCAACACATCGACTAAGCCATGTTATTAAAGTTATTAGATGCCCTGCAGTAATCAGGTATAAGTATGTACCTGAATCAAATGTTGTCAGGAATATTTTGTGGAACAATTGATTTATGTGACAGAATTTCCACTGAGACACATTCTGTAGCGCCTTCTGTTTAAACCAGTAATGGTAGTAAAAGACATTAAACTTTTGGTATCTCGAGTTGTGTCAAGTAAGGTTAGTAATAAATGTAATTGAAATTATTACTAAAATGATTAGAGAACCTGTAGTGAGTTTATTTATATATGTACCTGAGTCATATGCCATTGAAACTATCTTATAATTCAAAGCAATATCTATTCTGATTTAAAGCAAACAGGATTTTGTGCATTGACTGATGGGTTTGGTGAATCTATACCTAAAAGGTTTAAATACATAATTTCTGATGATTTGTTGTAAACTGATTTATATAATTAATTAAATGCAAGTAAACTAATATTAATATTGTTATTTTTCTTGGAATTCATGTTATATGTATGACATCAAATAAAATAAAGTATATGAAAAAAGTTACTCACCATTGGTAAAAGCTTTGTAAGGATTTTTAAAACTACATATAGTTCTTGCACAAATTTGTTAATCACTATTAACATTAAAACACTTTTTATACTGTATATTATAAATAATTTAAAAAATTAAATTATAAAATCAAATTACAAAATTTACAAACTTCAGTTTGTTCAAAATTAAATCAGTGCCAATGATGGGAAAAAAATTAATGTTTTTGACACAACAATAAAGAATAAATAAATATATTGCGTTATACAATATTAAATAAGTGATATTATATTTTTATATTCAATAAATGCACGTAATATTAATATTTTTAATAATTATTTATGAAACTTTGAATTGTGTTAAGTGGCGCGAACTCGCGCCAGGTTGGTATCACTTACGAAAAAGGAACATGAAAGAATACTTCATATCTCATATCCTTGTCAATATGGCTTCAAATTTAGAAAATTTGTACAAAATATGTAAATTAATCAGTGTTGTGCTATTAAAATGGAATGACAATACTTTATATAACAAGGTAAATTCTTGATGCCACTTTATATTCATGTAGTATGTTTATAAATACTCAAAAATACTAAATAATGTAACCACACAAAATGGACGTTAAATTTTGACAACTGAATATTATTGTTAGTTTAATTATATTGTTGTTGAATTTACTCACCAGTACATAATTCTGTATTGCTTTAGTTCATACTGGTATTTATTTATTTGCAATAAATTACGCATGTCATACTTGTAATATTTAATTTGTAAATCTGTACTGTACCTAACCTGTATTTACCATGTTGCAAATATTACTTTTTATATATAAATGATAATTTCTAGATTCTTGTGAAAGTTCATCGAAAACTTGAAAGGACATGGGGACCTGAATCATCAAAGAAATGTATAAAGGTGAAAAGTAATCGACTGAGCCAAAAGGTAAGTATCTAAAATCTATATAACTAATATATATATAAATAGTTAGAATTACTCATTCAAAATTGATAGTATAAAAACTTTATTTCAATATAAAATATATATACAAATATATATAATAAAATGTCTTTAACGTAATGTTTATGTATATGCATATGCATTTAAAGTACTTTTGCATTCAGTCTTAATATGAATATAACAAAATATTATAAAGATTTATATACATACCTATAACATGTGTAAACAATTACATGTATTTAACAAAATCGTAGAATATACTACAATAAATCTGTTGCGAGTTTAAATGCAAATAGATATCTATATCAAGTTACTAAAATATCATTTTATCACCCATTCACATTATTTACATACAAGTATCATTAACTACTCGAATCACCTTTTTCATTTACTTCGTTACTGATAGTCTCTTTTAAAGGAACACTTTCAACAGTGTTGTTCTCATGGTTATTTGAAACGTGATTTGTTTTGGCAACATCATCATCTACATTTTTTGATAACTTTTCTACATCATTCTGATCAGCCTTTTCGAATGTGGGAGTAACCAGCTTGTCTTTTACTATTGCCAAACCTTAAAACAATAATAGATTTGAAAGTAGTAAACATATTCAATGAAATTTCAATGTTTTAAATGTGTTTACCTATCATTGCCAATGCCATCATAGCAGTTGTCAAGGAAAATGTCCAAATTGTGCCAAATCTTGTGTAGACAACGCTTACAAAAACTGGTCCCAGGACTCGTGAAAGGCAACCTGAACCTGTCATAAGGCCCATCCAGACACCCTGAAAATCCAAGAAAAGGAAATAAGCAAATGCTGGATTTAGAAGACTTCAAATTTAATAAAAATAGTACTATAGCAGTTAAAAGTAAAGATATGATTTAGATAATAAATATATTTAGAAGGCTTTACTTAATTTTGGTTGATGGTTGGTTGATGAAGTTTAGTATCTTCAAGTAGACTTCATATTAAGATTTTATTACCTGTGGTCTTGGTCCCAAAATCTTTGAAAAAATGGCTTGAATCAAAGTGACACCAATAGGATATCCGACAGCTGTTAAGGCATATCCGAATATAAACTGTCCTATGGTCATAGCTGGTGTGTAGAGGCACCATTCTTGGTCTCGAGGACAACCCACAGGCTCTGGTCTATCAGTTGCATTCATACTGAGGAAAATAAAATTTAGTATCAGTTTCTACTTGGGTATAATTATTTCTAATTGTTATTATTTACCCATAAGTTGAGTTCACAAGTGTGTCATTTGAATAAAAGTCATCATACTCCAAATTTTCATCCATGATTTGTAATTTTTGGCTTGAATATGGTAAATACACAGCTCGTCCAAGGACCATGAGGAAGAAACCACCCCATAGCAAAACTTTGCGCTCTTCAAATACTCTGAAGAAATTAATGGACATATAGTTGGATGATGATTATTATTGTTGTTTGAGAAAATATGTTACTAACTTGCAAAGTGGTCCAATGGCAGCAAAAGTAATACAGGCAACTACTGCTCCAACACTCATAACTACACCCATGTAGTACAACGCTTGAGATTTTGTCCAGGCAAACTGGTCCATCGTTAGAGAAGTTCCCAAACTAGAAATTAGAAGACCAAGACATGGTAAAACATTTTAGATATTGGAACAACCTAATAGCATCAGATCTTTATCAAAATGTGGGCTTCACAGGACAAGTTTTGGATCAAGTTATCACAGGACAGTTTTATCTACAGAAGGAGATTCCTATTCACTAAAAAGTGAATAGTGTTAATGGGGATAATAAACATGGGAAAGAAAATCATTTATGGATTTGTGGTGACCTGCCTTCGGGCAGACAACCATTTATTACTATTATTTTCTACTTACGTTTCAAGAAGTACAAAATTGAAGACAAGTACAAAGAAGGCAGCAATAAGTGACCATGCTGCTATATGGTTCTTCTTTATGGACTTCCAGGCTTGTTTCTCGTTGTCCATACCTTGACGGACCATGGCCTCTTTTGCTGCTATTTGCGTTCGGTGAAAAAGCAGGGAAGGAATAATAGGCAGTTGAAGACACCTGAAAAAAAAGGATAGAAACTTAGAAATATTTTGGTCAAGATGAAGTATCACGGGGAACGAGTAATAGACAGTTGAAGACTGCTGAAAATAGATAATAGAAACTTATATAAAAAAATTGGTCTAGATGAAGTATCATAGGGAACGAGTAATAAACAGTTGAAGACTGCTGAAAACAGATAATAGGTTCTTAAAAAAACTAGTGGTGTGAGGCATCGTGCCTTAAGGCAAATTGCTGAAACTTCCCGTACCGTGATGAAATATTCGAGAAATTTTAAACGTTTTTAAATATATTATAACAAATACTGTAACTTTCATTATTTTTGCTAGCTTGTTATATCTGAGCAAATCGAAAGTAAATTATAAATAATTCAATTTATCTCCAACACATTAACAATCGGCATTTCATTTCGAATTCAATTTAAAAAAAAAAATAGTTTCCTAATTTACACAAAATTGAATTGAAGTGCTGCCGTATAGTCACAGTTTAAACGCATTTGCGAATAATTCTGTGCGACATTTTCACTTATGCTGTGCTTAGCTTGGCGGCATTTTCACATTTTTCAATAGTTTTCACAAAATTAGAAAAGTGCTCCAGTACATAAACAGTCTAAACGCATTTTGGTAAACACTTGTACCAGAGTGGCGCTTAGACTGTGCTTAGTCTGGGTAATTTTTTAAATTTTAATCCAAAATTACAAAAATATTTTATGGAAAATGAAAATAAATGTAATAATTTTTTATCTTCATAAATAATTGTTATGTCAATACAAGCAGAAAGTTTTTAGATCATTCAAATCGTATGCTTGGTTCACTCAAAAACTGCCATTTTTTGCACATTTAGCTCTGTATCTTCGAAATGGCGGGACTTGTCTTTGCCAAAAACTAATCACCTCTTCTCCCAATCATTACAAATTGATGATTGAAATCGGATGCTCCGTTCACTCAAAAACTCGATTTGTATTTTCTGCACTCTTTGCTCCGTATCTCCGTAACGGCTGGACCTGCTTTTGCCAAAAACTAATCAGCACATCTCCCTATCAATAGGAATCGAATGTTTTTTAAACCATTTAAATCGGTTGATCCGTGCGCCCGAAAACGTGGACGAAAAAATGCGGACATACAAAACACAATCACATACACATACTCGTACACACACATCCATTGTATCTGAGGTACGCCAAAATGTTCAGAAACCTTCAAAACGTCGAGAAATGATAAAATTGTCATTTTCGATTTTCGGCCCATTACTATAACTACCCTACGGGAAGTTAAAAATTGGTCAAGATGAAGTATCACAGGGAACAAGTAATAGACAGTTGTAGACTGCTGAAAATAGATCATAAAAAATTTATAGAAAATTTGGTCAAGTTGAAGTATCACTTCACGATAGTTCTGTTGACTGCAAGTGACTTGTACAATAAGCATCATCATGATTTGACAAACTTGGTCTTTCTTTTAAAGGATGAGAGCCTAAACAGATTTACCTAATCACTACGAATCATCTTTAAGTCTTTACACCTACGCCATGACATATAAAAACATTTAGGTGGCACAAATCTATCAATAATCTATTACTACTTCATCAGATTTTTTTCCTCTATCTTTTATTACCCATGATGGCGTTGATCCATCCACAAGCTGTGTACATATCCAATCCTGGCAACCCAAGTGGTCCACTCGTGCCCCCATTGTCTCCCAGTGGCGTAACGGCGCTCTGCAAGGCAGGCCCCACGATGAACCCTAAAACTTGGGCTAAGGAGATGACACTGACAGCCCCTGTGCGTTCTGATTCCCTTGTGGCTGCACTTACGTAGGCACGACATACTGCTATACTGCCTGGTAAAGGATAATAGATTGATAATAATTATTAACTTCCCGAAGGAGAAGTTTGTTTTCATCAAAAAATCCGATTCGCTAATTTTATGTTTTCTCGATGTTTCAAGCCATTCTGAATCGAATGAGACCAAATTTGGAAAAAGTATGTGTGTGTGTGTGTATGTGAACAGATTTTTTGCCGTAAATCGACGTTTTCTTAAAACGGCTGGACCGATTTCAAAAATTTAAAAGCCATTCGATGTATCTCGATGAGGATTATTGTTTGTCACTTTTGTGTGACGATCGGCCAAGCTGTTTCTTTATAAATAGCAGAAAAGTGGAAAAAATTTCGTCCACGTTTTAGTCCGCAATTCTGAATCGATTTTGAAAATTCAAAAGCCGTTCGAAAGATATTGATTGGGAATCGTGCTGATTAGTTTTTGGTAGAGATCGGCCGGGCCGTTTTCTTGTAATAAAGTGTTAAAAAAATTTTCGACGATTTTTATTATTATTTTTTTGACGGTAGATACCATAGTCTTCTAGATCATACTAAGGCTCTACGACAATTGGTTTAACTTTAAAAATTCGTCAAAGTTTGCAAAAATTAGTATCGTTTTTTTGGCATTTGTCAAAATTAGACCTTTTGATCGACGTTTGCTCAAAAACGCCTGAACCGATTTCAGAAATTTAAAAGCCATTCGATGTATCTCAATGAAGACAATCGTTTGTCAGTTTTGTGAGACTATGTGCCGAGCCGTTTCTTTGTAATTTGAAAAAAGTGTTAAACTTCTCCATATTTAAGCTCATACTACCGAATCGATTTAAAAAAATCAAAAACTGTTCGAAAGATATTAGTTGGTAATGATACTGATTAGTTTTAGGTGAAAATCTACCGAGCCGTTTTCTTGTAATTAACTGTTGAAAAAATTAAGACGATGGTCTTATAAAACTTACTGAAATATTACGGCCTTACGACAAGTAGTTTAATTTTAAAAATTCATCAAAGTTTGAGAAAATGAGTAGTGTTTTTGACGTTTGTTAAAATTATAATTATACTATTTACTTGGTATAACGATAGAGTACTTGGTGGTAATGAACATACTAAACAATTAAAGTCCTACAAAAAGCTGGCTCAATTATAAAAATTATTGATATTTGAAAATTTGCTTTTAAAAAATACTCCGACCGGGTTGACGTGTTTGATTTTCAATAATGTATAATAAATCCACTTCGAATACTTTTAATCACTCATAAATTAATTTATATTTTATTGATTAAGTCGATTATTTACACATATCGGGAAGTTCATGTAACTTGCCTCAAGGCAAAATACCAATACCCACTAGTTATTATTATTATTTCTGGTGAACATCAGTGGGATTCACTTGGGACTTACTTGAGCTGACTCCGACCAGAAACCTGGAGAACAACATCCAGTATTTTCTGTTATCGGGAAATGCTTCTAGAACACTGTACAGGGCGCTCGCGATTGTGAATAGCATCAAGGAACACATCAGAGGACCTCTGAAAAAAAATTGAGTTATAAAGACTTGACCATAAATTATTGTATTTAGTTCTTGATATTTGATGACTGTCATACAAGTTTGGAATGAGCCAGTTTTAGTGCCAATGTCAATATTTGTGATCATTTGGATACACTTATTAATAGGTCCACAGTTTCTGGGTGTGTCGAATTTCGAAAATAGGCTAAAAATCAAATTCTCAGACCTATAACCGAAAAATTTATATCAATTACTAGCTGACCCGGCAAACGTTTTGCTAAGTAAGGTGTATTCTAAACGATTTCTAGAGAATCACAAATATTAATACCTTAATGTATAAGGATGTGTTGTTTGAATGCTATATGCAATGAGGTATTGTAAAAACAATATACCCTATTAGTTTGTCTATATTTTTTGTCAATACAATCAAACTGCAAGTTTTATACACTTTCTATAGAAAACATGGTATAATCCAATCCAAGTCTTTTTTGGTCTTTCGACTTATTGATTACATTTCAAGTTTTTCAGATTCTTCTTGGATTCTGGATTTTGTGTATAGTTGTAAATAATACTACTGAGCTTATAAAAAATTTTCAAATTTCTCCGAAATAGAAAATGAATTAAGTATTTCTTCTTTGACCTGCTTTTTCAAAAGTTTCAAGTAACATTTTATGAATTAAAGTAAATTTAATAAGAAAGTATATATGTAGAGCAGGGCGAGGCACAAAAGTCTAGTTCGACTTTGAGCAAATATTATTTATATTATAAAAATCAAACCAATTATATTACAACTAATAACACATTTCAAACGAACACAATTATCTGACTACGTTCAGTAAAACTGCCAGCTACTTCATCATTATAGAAATGTGCTTTTTTGCTGTTTTTCAAAAAATTGTTATCTAGACCTTTTTACCCTATAGGCGGAGTAACTTGGAACGGCCAGGTGGCAAACAGGTTTAATGTCTTATTTTAATTTTAAAATTATTTTACAAAATAATATCATTCTTAACTAATGCTGAAAAAACTATCAACAGAAAAATACTTATTATCAAAGATTACCGTTTATCTACCGATAGCAAAGTAATGAGAATCAAGGTTATAGCTGGTTTTACATCTTTTTCCCTCTACTTTCAAATATTATTGTTAAACAATGCTTAACTTTACTGGTTTTTGACACATCGGTGGTGGACCTTTTTAACCCCGGACCTTCATATGTTACTATCTATTTTTCGATAAATTCTGGGAAATTATAACTGGGAAAATGTTATTCGTCAAAATGTCCCTTTGATCGATACCTAATTTAGGTTCTGAATTTAAATAACATAAATAAAAATTAATATAACCTAGAAAATATTTTATAAATACCAATAAGTATATAATTATACAAATGAGATCTTTCAGAGCACCGTGTTTGAGAAAAATTTGCAAAAAAAGAGTGCTACAATGCCAACAAATGCATTTTCGTATTAACATTTCAAAAGAGTTGATATTTTGAGTTCCTAGTAAAACTTGCGATCCGTTTAATAACGTTTTTGTGTATAAATATAACTACGAACAAAACTACTTACTACAATTTAATCATAATTAAATAATATTCACGTAAAACATCCTTTTAAAAGTAATTGAATATCATCATCGGTATTGGCCACCGTCCACTGTTTTATTTAAATTACGCTTCTACAAAAATGTTCAAAATAAAAATATAAAGTTTCTACGCGATTTTGAAATAATATCTCACCTTTCCGACAACCTACTGATTAGCACGATTTTTTCAAGACTAAGACTGGCCAAATCGGTTTAGCCGTTTTCGAATTTTAGCAGATCATTTGATCGAAAGCTCTATTTTTATATATAAGAAGATTACCTGGAGGAGCTCGCCTTGTTACCCCACCATCCTGCCAAAGGACTGCACAACATCTGCGCCAAAGGATTAGCAGCCACAATGTACCCCATAAATTCTTTACCAGCGGTCGGATCTAACTGAGAAAAAAGATTCACTTAGGAAACTTCTTAGGAAAGACAAAATAAGAATTAATTAGTTAGAAGAGAGTATTAGTGTTACCTTATCCAAATAAGGCCAGACTCCGGTCAGAACGATGCTGAATCCTAAGGACATCAGAAACATGGTGAAGTAGATGATTCGAACCGATCGCCATCTGATCTTGTACTCTTCTGCAGTTTCTAGACCGTCCACCAGGTGTCTGTCGTCCTTGGGTTTCATCAGGCGCCGCCTGATGTTGCGGACGCAATTCATTATGGGGCTGGAGGAAAAAAAGACAATTTCAGTATATGAAATTTAATCACGTTTAATTATATAGCTGGTTCACTTATATTCACTTATATTATATTTACTTTCGCATGTTAGTGGGACTTTGTTGTTACGATAGCCATACTTAAGGAGACTTTTTTCAATCTTCACCTGATGGCGGGACTTTTTTGAAACTTTTACGTTGTTGAAGACAAAAATCAAATTCTAGGCAGCTATAAGTGCTAGGCAGTTTTGTTTTAAATTTCGAATGCTAGAAGGATATTTTCTTAACATTCACGTGCTAGAGGAACTTTTTTCAAAATTAAGTGTTGGAAGGTCTGTTTTCAAATGTCTTATTTTTTAAGTATTAGAAGATGTTTTCTTAGTTCTTTAAGTTCTAGAGGATGTATTATCAAATTCTCAAGAGCTAAACAGTGCTTTTTTAAACTTTCAAGTGCTAAAGGGTGTTTTTTTCAAACTTGCTATTGCCACATAGTATTTTTGAAGTAAAACTTCTCTAGCCGCAACTGGGGTGTAAATCCGTACAAATGCAACGGAAGTGCGTTACGGCACATAAGATAATATAAGAGTCGAGTGCCAATGATTCGTCATTCGCTCTCGATGATATCATTTCTATACGGGTCGATTGTGATTAGTCGTCGCGTATGTGAATAGATTTCTGTCGTTGTATGCGTACCGGCATCAACGTTATATGCGTACCGATATCAACAAGGAAATCGACATAGATAGATAAATAAACATTTTAAAATTACATCGTAGTACAAAATCTTGATTTAATGAAAAATGTCTGAATCAGAAGAATATTTTACCATGTTCCTTAATATTTTACCCCGTTCCTTAGAAATTATTTCTATATTATTCGTAGTTTCTATAAATCTTTGAAGTTATTAAAACGGAAAATATTTTTTAGGCAAGACAGATATTATAGCTGTTCAAAGAATGAGATTATATCGCAAAAAAGTAAAAAAAAAAAAATACAAGCAGTGAATGAATGTATGTTAATTTTAATTACTTGAAGTTCCTCAAACACAATTATTACATGAAGAGTGAAGTTGCGAAAACAATATTTGTTTAGGCGTTGTTTAACATAATTCACTGTGTGAACAAATATTGTAGAATTTATTAATCAGCAATTACTTTATTTCTCTAATGAAGGTTCATTTCTAAATGCTAATTACAATGACAAACCGATCATGTCATATTTGAAGTATGACTTTAATTACATTATTGTTTTTAAGTATTATACTTATTTTTAATGCTATTATAAATATATAATTTATAATTTATCATTATATAAATGTGTATAATGGTTGACTTGACACTAATAAATGTGTGCATCCCGAATGTTACCATATTACTAATAAACATTATTCAAAATTGTCATATGATACATTTATTTTTACTTAGATGCCATCTTTTACAGAAACGAATAAGTTTTACTTCAATCGCATGTGAACCTTACGCGCACTCTTTTTTTCCAATCTTTCGAGTTCTAGGTGGTCTTTTCTTCAAACTTTTAAGCGCTAGGGAGTTCATTTACAATAATAAAGGCGGGTTCTACAAACTTTGACGTGCTAAAGATCCAGTTTCAAAATTTTGCATATTATTTTTTTTTCAAATTTTCAAGTTCTATGAAGTATTTTTCAAGCTTTCAATTGCCTTAATAGTATGTTTCAATCTTTTAATTGCAAGAGTGTTTCTTCAAACCTCTAAGGGATGAAGGGTGTCCTGTCAAACTTTCAAGTGCTCGATGATCTATTTTTAAACTTTCGCATACTAAAAGAGCTGTTTCAAACTTTGACGTAATAGACGTTATTTTTTCAAACTTCTGCCTGATAGAAAATTTCTCGATCTTTCACGTGCTGGAGGAACTTTTTTTTGGAAATTTTTACATGTCAGAAGTGCTAGACCATTTTGAAAGTTTTACAAGCTAGAGGGATTGTGATCATACCTTTTTTTTAACTTTTACATGTCAAAAGTGCTAGATAGACTTTTTTAAAAGATTTACGAGCTAGAGGAACCTATTTCAAACTTCCATGTACTAGTAGATGCAACTTTTCATACTTATTCGTGCTTGAATTATATTTTATACTTTTACATGGGAAGCATTTATTCGTACTTTTATATGGTAACATTCTTGAAACTTTTGCATGCTAGAAGGATGTTTTTAAATCTATTTGTGTTTATTCAAACTTCTCCCTACTACAAGGACTGTTACTCAAATTTTTACATTTACGAGGAGCTCTTTCCAAACTTTTAAATAGCGCAGAGCTTTTATAAAACCTTAACATACTAGGAAACTTTTATTCTCAAATTTAAAATATATCTGAGGCATTTTTATTCAAACTTTTGTACAATAGATTTTATTTTTAACAAACTGAGTCAATTCATTAAAGCGAATCATTTATCAAACAAGAGGATCTTTTCTCAAACTCATACAAACTGGATGAATCTTTTACTACACACTAGCGAATATTTTTATTAGATATTTTTGATAACTTGCCAATAGGCAAAATAAATATTAGTTACATACTCGACAAAAACCATGACCTGGGTGTTGACCAGGTTTGCCAAACGGTTCACCAGGATCTTCATTTTTCTTCAAATCGTTAGCAACAAATGTACAAAGAATAAACTTGTGTTACTTCTTTTAAATACCACACCAATAACAATAATATAATAACAACCCGTAAATTTAGAATCAATTCTAACGTATTTACTAATGACTATTTATTTATTATTTTATTATTATTATTAAAATCGCCAAACGACATCGGAGACGTCTCAACCGGTACTGAGAGGCGCGAATTAAAACAAAAAATACGAAACGCGTTTGCGAATGCACTTCTGCATTTGCAGGAGGACAGGGGTTGTAAACATTTTAATTCGTTAAATGATTAAATATAATAGTTGCAATCACTGTACTTTAAATGTTTGAAAAAAACTTTTCTCTTGTTTCTAGCATGTAAGACTTTGAGAAAAACAAGTCTCTCTAGTATGTCAAAGATTGACAAAATTTTCTCTGGTATGTAACAGTTTTATTAAGTCTCTCTAGCACATAAAAGTTTTAAAAATGTTTTTACTTACTAGAAGTTTTATTGTACTTCATTCATATATTGCTTATTGAAAGGACTTTTAATAAATTTTTCACATTCTGGATGGCCTTTTAAGCAAGCTTCGATATGTTAAGACTTTTTTTCAAACTTATAAATTTTCGAGGGCTTTTTTACAAATTTTCACATGGTTCTCGAACATTTATTCAAACTTGTACTTACTGAGAGGAGCTTTTCCAATGTTGACATACTCCATGGACTCTTGTTCAATCTTTGACATACTGGAGGGACTTTCATTTAATTTTGACAACTTTGGCATACTGAAATACTTTTATTCAAACTTCCATATACTGGAGGAAAATTTATTCAAACTTTGACGTACTAGAGGGACTTTTTTGAACTTTGACACCTTGGATGGACTTTTTCTAAACTTTGACATGCTCCCTCAACTCTTATTCAAACTTTAACATATATTGAAGGACTTTTTACAAACCTTTACATACTTTAAGGACTTTTATTCAAACTTTCACATACTGGAGAAACTTTCATCCCATCTTTGACATACTGAAGGGACTTTTATTCAAACTTTGACATTCTGGATCGATTTTGAGTCAAACTTTGATATACTGAAGGACTTTTGTTCAACCTCTGATATACTGTAGGAATTTTTACTCAAACTTTTATAAACTGGAGGAACTTCTTTCCCAAACTTTGACATACAGGAGAGTCTTTTATTCACACTTTGACATACTGGAGGAAGTTTTATTCAAACTTTGACATACTGGAGGAAGTTTTATTCAAATTCTGACATACTGTATGAAGTTTTATTGAAACTGTGACATACTGGAGGAAGTTTTATTTGAACTTTTATATACTGGAGGAACTTCTTTCCTAAACTTTGGCATACTGGAGAGTCTTTTATTCATACTTTGACATACTGGAGAAAGTTTTATTCAAAGTTTGACATACTGAGGGCACTTTTCTAAAGTTTTACATACTTCATGGACTTTTATGCAAACTTCGACATAGTAGAGAGAGTTTCATTCAGATGTTTTTTTACAACCTTTTATATACTCCATGGACTTTTATTCAAACTTTAACATAATGGTGGAATTTTTGTTCTAACTTTGACATACTGAATAGTGTTTTCCCACACTTTTGGAAATTCTAATGACTTTTTTCCAAAATTTGACATTCTGAAAGGACTTTTTTAAGTTTTGAGTACTGGAGTGACTTTTATTCGAGTATGTTAAATACTAGATCTACGGACTTTTATTCCATTTTTTCATATCCTTCATGGACTTATATTCAAACTTTTAACATATTCCATTAACTTTTATTCAAACTTTGACATATTGTATGAATTTTTATTCAAACTTTGACATACTGAAGGTACTTTAATTTAAACTTTGACATACTAGACTTACAAGAGAAACTTTTACTTAAACTTTAGCAAACTGGATGGAATTTTTATAAACTTTTATATACTCCATGAAATTTTATTCAAACTTTGACTTACTATATAAGGTTTTATTCAAAAATTGACACACTTGAGGTCTTGAGGTACTTTCTATTACATTTTTACATACTATACGGACTTTATTCAAACTTTTACATACTGGAGGGTGTTTTATTAAACTTTTACATACTACATAAACTTTTATTCAAACTAAGTGGCTTCAAACCAAGGTCCCAATAGGAAAAATGACGATTTTTCGAGTATGCAGAAGTTTGCAAAAAAATCGAAGAAGTAGGAATTTATAAAAAAAATGTAAAAATGCATAAATGTTAAAATTAGAAAAAATTACTCTAGTATGCAGTAGTTAAAATATATATGCCTAACTTTTCAAAAAGTCCATTTATGATATAGGAATTTAAATAAAATCCGTCCATTATGAAAAGTTTATTGGCAGATTGTCAAAAATGCCAACTAAAAAGCTCCACGAATGATAAAAAGCAAAAGATTCTTTTAAAATGTAGCAATTTGAAAAAAAAATTCCTCTAGTGTGCAAAAGTTTGAAAAATCATTACCAGTTAGCAGTTACAAAAAATTATCTAAAATAATTAGATAAGGCCTAAAAAAAGTTTTCTAGTTGGAATTGAAAATTTCAGATTTGAGAAGAAAGGTCCACCAATATTTGAATATTTGGGTCATTTTGACAAACTTTTCAAATTTGACATCCCTGGAAAAGCTTTATACGCATAACTTATATGTATAAAATTGTAAATGTATATACATATGTATATGTATAAATTAGTGCATAATTATTATGGCTTTCGAATTAAACACGAACAAATTGATTAAATAATTCTTAAATTGAACAATGACAAATTCAACATTGTTCATTGCATTCTACAATTTGATTTGATATACTAATTATATATTGCAATCTATATATATATATATATATATATATATATAATATACATTGCAATATTACTAGAGGTGTCATTTAACGCTCCATTGAAATATGTCAAATGGCATAATTGCATTTGTTGTTAATATTACACAATTCAAATTGTTACTTATAAAATCATACATACAAATAAATTTAATATGAACTATATTAAAATTATATTTAACATTCTGGGCTAAGGATTGCTCTCTTATCTTACCTAAAAATAAATAAAACTATCATGGATAACTTGGCTAAATATGCCACTTTATTATTTATAATTTTTATAATTTCTAACTTTTCGGAGCAAAAGTTTCTGGTTTTGCCAAAAAATCCGACTTGCTAATTTGATGTTTTCTCGACGTTTCAAGTCATTCTGAATCGTTTGACACCGAAACTTTAAAAAATATACATGTATGTGGGACAAAATTTGACTAGTTTTGTAATCGGTTTATTATCAATTTATAAAAAATAAACTTCTGTTCATAATATATTTACAGTGCAAAATATCATCATAAGATTTTTACAAGTATCATTTTTATGATCCATTAAAGTTTCCATTTAAATCCTGCGTCTGATTTAATTCCATCCAATAAATATTTATTATTGATTCATATTGTTCGATTGTGAACGATAAATCGCAATCGGAAATTAATAATAATAATTATTATTGACGATATAAACAAAACATTATCGATTGCCGGCGAGAAAATATTTTGGGAATTCTAATTGTTATTTGAATTGTAATTGTTTATATAAAATGGCTGGAATTGAAATTATATCATTTTATGGTTGATATGAATTTAATATAACTAAAAAAATAAATATTTGAAATGATATACGAATTTTACTTATATCTTTTAAAATAGATTTAATAAAATTATTACTTCTATCTTAACGAATTGCATTTTTTCAAAAAAATGTATATTTTTTTTCAAATTTCAATATCTGTTACTACTGCTATTTAACAATAATATGTAACATTGAATATATAAATAAAATATAGTACCAAATGAAGGACATTGTTTTCACTAAAATGATATCTTTATTATGATAATTTAATATAAAATAAACTAGTGGTGCATGGCATCGTGCCTTAGAGCAAATTGCTAGAACTTCGCGTACTAAAAATTTAAATTTTTAAAAAAGATTCAATTTTCTTTTAGAACCCGATTTTTGAGATTTTCAAAATTTTTGAAAATGATTGATCTTTTTGAAAAATTTGTTTTTTTTTATTTTGAAATATCTTGGAAGTTTAGAATTTTTTTCAAATAATCGCGATAAAGCGCGTGGGCGCCGCGTCGCAGTATTACGGTTAAACATTGGTACGGAATCCATAGAAAAGTGAACAAAAACCTTCCGGGAAGTTATCTACTAATAATGATAAAAATTAATAAATAAAATTTGTGAATATTACAAATAATATTAGAAAAACAATAAATGACAAATAATAATAAATATAACAAAATAACAATATTAGAAATAAAATAACAGAACAAATAAATAATAGTAACTAAAAATTTATTAATAAAAATAATAATATTAATGTATTAATTAAAGCATACATAATATTATTATCTAAATTAATATCAAGTTAAGACACTGAAGTTGGCTAATTTAGTTAAAATAATTAATATTTTACACACTTAAATTAAATTGTAATTTTATTAAATCAATTTAATTACTAACTCTAATTAATAACCCTATGATTTTAGTTATATTTATTTGTTTGTAAAACAATTTTAAATTTATTAAAGATTGTTAATTAATCATAAATTTAAATATACTCCATTCAAGTATTTTTTAATTTTTTTAAAATTTATGATTAATTAACAATGTTTAATAAATTTAAGATTGTTTTACAAATAAATAAATATATAACTAAAATCATTGGAATATTAATTGGGGTTAGCAATTAATTTAATTTAATAAATTTACAATTTAAGTTTGTAAAATATTAATTATTTTTAATAAATTAGTCAACATCAATGTCTGACTTTTAAATATATGATTCTATTTTTTAAAATTTAGTCTTTTTGAAAAAAAAAACAAATTAGAAAATTTGTCATTTTAAAATTTTCTACATTTTGGGTATTCGGGATGATCGC